TATATATATATATATATATATATATATATATATATATATATATATATATAGTATGTACGTACGTATGTACGTACGTATGTACGTACGTATGTACGTACGTATGTACGTACGTATGTATGTACGTATGTACGTACATATGTATTTTTGCATGTAAGTATGTACATGCATGTGTATGTATGTACATGCATATCTATCTACATGCATACGTATGTATCTACATGCATACGTATGTATCTACATGTATACATATGTATCTACATGCATATATATGTATGTACAGTTGCAGAATTATATTTCATTACTCTTGCCAGGTCCCACTTTTGTACATCTGGCAGCCACTTTGATGTAAACATAGTGTAAATAGTACTTTTATAAATGAGGCAAACACCTAGGTTTTTTTGTAACAAAGAGTGTGACTGGTAGAATAAAAATGTTAATAAGTTTATTAGTATCTGTTTTTGGAAACTGCATAAGCCATTTGTTCTTTTGTTTTCTTTACACAAATAATAACAAAACATGTATTATTAGTTATCATTGAAATTGTACCGAGATATTTTTTCTGGTATTGTTTGTATATCAAAATGGCAACAATTATGTAGGTGAGTCAGCATTTCACCTTTCTTTCAACACAGCAAATATCAATTATAGCTGCATATTTCTTGAAACTTGAAAACGCTTTGTGCTTTAGATATCTATGTATGGCAGCTGTATTAAATCAAAATCTTCAGAATAGCTGCACCAACCAGCAGCGGCTAATCAAACTAATGAAGTGTGTTTCTTCTTTTGCCAGAACCAAACACTAAAGCACAAATTCAAAAAAAATATATATACTTTCCATTATAGTACATTAGCAGAATGCAAACCCACAGTAGGGCTACAGTGAATATATAGATTGTGTGTGTGTGTGTGTGTGTGTGTGTGTGTGTGTGTGTGTGTGTGTGTGTGTGTGTGTGTGTGTGTGTGTGTGTGTGTGTGTGTGTGTGTGTGTGTGTGTGTGTGTGTGTGTGTGTGTGAATATTTTGTGATTAGTAACACAATAGTATGTGTAATCCTTTTCGATTATTCTGATCATAGTTTCACTATTACTATTCTATAAGTCATGGAGTCGCATTAAATTGAAAAAATACATGTTTGCCTGTTTCAGCTCAAAAAAACTACTGAGCCTAAAAACTTGCTCCCAATACATGCATAGTATGCAAGGCCGGATTATGACCTTTTGGGGCCTTTAGGCTAATGAAATTATGGGGCCCCCTCAGAATATTTTTTACTCGTGATATATTTTAGCAAAATTTACATAGCTTGAGTAAACTTATTGCAAATTCTTTAAATAAACTAGCATAGCTATCTTTTGTTTGTCAATAAAAATATTCTTTAAATACCACTATTTTACTATATTTCAACATAACCGTAGTGAAAAAAAAAAAAAAAAAAACAGATTTTTTATAACCAAGCCCCTCCAAGCTTGGAGCCCCCAAGCTCGAGGGGCCCAGGGCTGCAGCCTATACTAGCCTATAGGATAATCCAGCCCTGATAGTGTGATATCTTGAAAGAAAAATCTTGCTTATTCTGACAGAATGGGAATTCAATCTTGCTATCTACTTTTATCTCTCATGCAATTTTCCTTGCATTTGTCAGTGCATGTCAAAGCTTTGATACACTATCTTGATGTGTTTAAAATAGTAATACTAATTTCCCAGTGTGTGAAAAGTGATCTAAATGCTTGTTTATCCACCCAGAACTTGAGTAGTTTGAAGAGAGGAACCATCAAGAAAATAAAAAACATATTAGATACTCTTTATGATAATGGATCTTTATAAATTCCTGAATATTCATTTAGCGGCCAATACCAATACGTACTAAATAAGAAAGAAAATATGTTCGACGGTATATGACATCATAATGGTATATGGGAAATCCAAGGCTGCCAAACTAACACCTTTTTCAACATAGACGCAAGGTAAGCTAAAATTGCAAATAGAAGCCGCATCATTGGGATGAGGGAGAGCGACATCTCTCCCTGTGAATTAACTAGAGAACTGGGTATCTCCCACTCGATGGTGTACAGGTGAAAAAGATGGGAGGAGGGGAACCACCCTGAATGACCACCCTCGTTCCGGATGCCCCTTCACCTAGGCAACATAAGAGCTCCCACTAACAAGCTGCATGGAGAAGAAAACAACTACATGGGATTCACCACAGATCATTATCAAAGAAAAGTTTAAAACGCAACATTGCCAACATCGCCTCCAGTTCACCCAGCAGTATGTGTAGAGCATACTGGAAGCTCCATTACTGGATTAGAGGTAATGATATAAATATTATTGATCGTTTTTCAATTTGTTTATAGATTGATTCAGTCCAAATTTTGATACAGCTTTATGTTCATACATGATAACACTCAATACATCATATTTGATGTTATGATTATCTTTTTTACTTCTCAGATGTGACTCACGAAATATCTATGAAACAGCAGGGGTGACCATGTTACCTGTGGGGGTGGATTGTCAGTGGTGGTGTTGGGAAACTCACCAGAGATTCAATTTAGACAAATTTTTGAAATGTTCAAAGGACTATTCCTCCCATCAGTATGCTGCTATGCCTTGGCCCTTCCCAAAAACAATCATATTCATGCAGGATAACTGCCTAATACACATATCAAGAACAGTTACAAAGTGGTTCGATGACCAAAACCACATGGAAGTCCTTCCTCAGTCAAGCAAGGCATGTGACTCAAACCCGAAGAAAAATGTTTAGCCGTTTATTCTCAATGTTTGGGAAACAGCTAATGAAAAAGCCACCCATAATATAATCATAGATCACACTAAAAGGGAATGGAAAATTTTACAGGGGATACCGGGACCTCACACAAGCACGTCTTCTATATCCCAGGGATTAGACAAGGTTTTGAATAACCATACATTGTACTTAACTAGCCTGCCCATAGTATTGGCCTTTGTTTTTCTGCAATTCTTACCATTTTTCTTTTTACAAATAAACCAACAGTAAAAATATCTTTGACATTAATAAGATCCTACCAATTAGTTGAGTCACTGAAGCCCTGGCAAAAAAAAAATAATGAAAAATAAAATAAAAAAATAATAAAAATAAATAAATAAATAATAATAATAATAATAATAATAATAATAATAATAATAATAATAATAATAATAATAATAATAATAATAATAATAATAATAATAATAATAACAATAATAATAATAATAACAATAATAACAATAATAATAATAATAATAATAATAATAATAATAATAATAATAATAATAATAATCACACACACACACACACACACACACACACACACACACACACACACACACACACACACACACACACACACACACACACACACACACACACACACACAAAATATGTGGTATTTCATTGAAATAATATTCTATAATGAAGAATATGATATAGCATACTCTCTGTTTATTTAATCAGTGTTTAGTAGCGCTTTGTGTTCAAATGATGTATTTTTAATGAAAAATATGATGTAGCATATTCTCTGTTTATTTAATCAGTGTTTAGTAGCGAAAAATAAAAAACTAGTCATTTCATTAGTTCAGTTAGCCACTACAAGATGGTGTAGCCACGACCAACGAGAAGTATTTACAAAGGTAACAGCAATTTTGCAAAGAATTTTATTTGATATAGCTGCCATACATAGATGTATAAACAATGAAGCGTTTTCACATTTCAAGAAATATGCAGCAATATTTGAAAATTGTGTTTAAAGGGGGAAATGCCGACTCACCTGTATAGGTGTTGCCACTTCAATATTCCAAGAAAATTGCATTTGAAAAAATATCCCACTATAAAGTCATTGATAATTACTACTACGTGTTTGTTATCACTTGTTTGAAGAAAATGAAAGATTAAATGACGTACATAATTTTTAAAAATTTATGAAATAAACTTATTGGTCATTTATATTTTACTAATCACACTCTTTGTTGTAAACAACTCAGGGTTCTGCCCCATTCATAAAAATACTATTTACTCCATGTTTACATCGAAGTGGCTGCCAGATGTACAAAAGTGGGACCCAGCAAGTGTATTGAAATATAATTCTGCAACTGTACATGTAAGTATGTACATGCATATGTATATTCATGCACATGTATGTATGTATATATAAATGTATGTATATGCATATGTATATACAAGTATATGTAGATATGTACACATATATGTATGTATGTACATACATGTAAGTAGTTATGTATATACAAATATGTATTTACATACATACATATGTACATACACATGTATGTGCTTGGGTATATCTGCATGTACGTACATGAGTACTTTCATATGTATGTATTTATGTATATGTACGTACTTTGGTACATACATATGTATGTATTTATGTATATATATGTACTTAGGTACATACATATGTATGTATAAATGTATAAATGTATATAAGTATATAAGTATATATGTATGTATGTATGTATGTACATAAGTATTTAAGTATGTATGTATGAACTTAAAACGCATGATTATATGTACATAGGTACGTATGCACTCATGTACACATGTATGTGTATGTGTGCAGGTGTTGGGGTTGGGGATATGCAGGGGGTATGTGTATGTATGTGTATGAGACCAAGACTAAATGGAAGTGATTTAAAGTGAGTGTGCAAGTATGTTAGCATGCAATAGTTATTATTGTCACATTCCACTGACCTATACACTGACCACTGCACTGAGGCACAATACTTTTAACCACATATTCCTTGCCAAATCACCCTTCTTCTCACAGAGGTCTCTTGAAAGCCCTCCTCCAGCCCTCCTCCATGAACATATCTCTATGCAATATAATCAATTTAGTAAATGACTTGTAGTTAGACTTTTACTACAAAAAAAATAAGTGTAATGAAATCTTTAGGCTTACCATTTCTGCTCAAAACCTCGACACACGAAACCTCAGTTACTATCTAGGAATACTGTGAATGGCTTATAATGCTTACCTTTCTTTATTTTGGTCTGTATCCTCTTTTGTCTCTTTCGAACGGGAATGATTCCTGAATCTCCGGCTGGAAGAGAAAACAAAAAATAAATAAACACCCAAATGTAAATTGCAAGGTGAAATGGAATATTGTTTTTTCAAAGAAGTTGAAACTCCCATGTCCATATACCACGTTTATGAAACTTCGTTGTTTCATCATTTGCTAGTCAAATAATATACTACCCAAAGCTTAACAACTAAATTAAAAATTGCATTTATTTGCTCGATGAGAAATCTCCATTTCCATCATGGTCTCAATCTTCAAAAATTCCTAAACAGTTGGAGGCTAATAATACACAAATCAATAGACATGATAGATTGCTACTCACCGTTCTTGATGTTCCAGTCTTCATCATCATCCATTTCCTCATTGTCATCCTCCTCCTGAGCATCATGTCCAGGAGTAAATTCCTCATCATCCAAATCTGTGGCCGCTTGTAAGCCTAAGTCATCTGCATCGTCTTCCAAGTCGTCTATTTCCTCTTTCTTTACATTTGCCAACGGAAGCTTTCTCTTCCAGACTTTGGGAGTGATCTCTCTTACACCCGACACTGGAGCTTCCTGTGAAATCAAACAAATACAACTTTACAGCTCTACAGGAACTTATATTAGATGTTTTTAGAAGTTGCCATGTTACTCCTTTGTACAAAAAAACAGAAAGGAAAGGATTCACGAAAGTAATATACTCACAACTTCAGGATGAATCATATTTTCTATTTCCACTTCTTCAAGGTCTTCCTGACTAGAAACAAGAACTATTCCTTTTGAATTCTGAAAAAGGAAAAAAAAAAGTTACATCAATTGAGAACAGTAACATAAAAGTACTAAGCAGACTGATAAACTGGTTACTTTAAAGCCATTATAAAAAAAAAAAAATCAGCAGATTATGCATACACCTTTCAGCCATAATGCATTTTCTTGTCTACCATGGACTTTAACTACAAGAACCAAATATGAATCACCAATATAGTAGTTTCCTTTGGATATCATTTGTCATATCAACAATGCAACACAGTAAAGCAGAAGTAATAAAAGAAATTACATACAATAATTAGTCTACAATTTTTCAGATTATAATCCTCTACCAATATGCTGTACTCACTTCTAATTCATCTCTTTCACCACCGCAGAGGACCTGTAGGAAATTTGTTGCATGGGTGGATGTTTGTATATTACTCAACACCTGCTTGATGCAAGCTGCTACCTGAGGGTCACACAGCTCCCTCTCTATCTGGGGTAAACAGTCGGCTAAAAGCTCCTCCAATCTGCAGTGAAGAACAATTTTTGTTATGGATAATGCTACTTAGAATGCTGGCATTATGTAATAGTAAACTACATCATATGTCATATTACATAATATATTTGATATTTTGAGAGTGTCACAAGGTACAAGCTTTTGTAGTTCTGAAGTGAACATTGGTTCTAACATTTCAAATCTATGTGTGGTACTTTGACCTTACAAAGACTACTAAATCAGCTTTATCTGGTTAATACATTCCTTGCTTGTTCCTGTTTCTTATCTCTGAATAAAACCCCTAAAATGTTCTGCACCCTGAAACTATAATTTTTATTGTTTTCCAACAAATCCTACATTGCCGCTGGGCATAACATGTACATACATGCCATGCCCACTGTGAGTTTACTTTATTAATTGTTTTTATATATAGGTGGCTACACTTGTTCAAAGTCACCAATGAGCCAATTACAAGGTCTGCCTGCCTCACCCGTTTAACCTTTTCTTTAACACCACATATTCATGGCATTAGTAAAAAAAAACTTCCACCAATTCAAGGAAAGGTGAAATCAGGTAAGGTCACAAGGTCTACTAAATGACTCCTTTGTGGCTAAGAACTAGCAAAGCCATCTATATGCAGAGACATTTCACACAAAAAAAAAATTAATAACTATTATGATGAACAGAACTTCAAGAGTTAAGCTCTCAACACAAGCAATAAGACATACCCTATAACAATTATCATCTTACCTTTGCCAATCAACACTTGAACAGCTGGGACAGGTGGGAAGAGGTTCTGCAGTTAGATTACACTGAACTTTCACTTCCCGCAAAGGCTGTCTTGTGGTTGAAGTGCGCATAGCATCCTGCATAAGAGAATTTGCAAAATTAAAAGGCTTTGTAAATATAAAACTAATCCCAACTATTATTATAATTTAAGGATACTCTACTAGTCAAAAAACATTTAGCAATATAATGATACTCTCCTACTTACAAAAAATGGTGTAATATGACAAGAAATGCAAACAATACATTATGTTACTTCAACAGAAATACGTGAAATAATCAATCAAATGCCATGAAATCTCTCGAACTCACTGTCTGCGTGCATATATCTCTAATCCTAGGAGGCCTTCCTTTTGGCTTGGGCGGAGGAAATCTCAGCTGACTGGGCTGGCTCACATTCTCTCCGTAATCTTCCGGTTCACTCTCGCAGACATTCATCTCTTCCAGTTCCTCTGCCTCGCCTGGTCTTTCATTTTCTTTGTCTTCCTTCTTAATGCTCGAAAGCAGCTGTTTTCTCCTCCGTCCAGCCAGGCCACCTGAAGGTTGCAACGAAGCACCTGGACTACTTTCTAGGCTTACTTCTTCTTCCTCCTGTGGTTCTGACTTGATGAATGGAATTCTGTAGGAATGAACAGTGCACTTAATCCCTTGGCCAAAGACAGAGAAAAGCATAGTGCTAAGCAAACTCTTTCCAATAGAACAAGATAGAGTTTAAAAAAAAAAAAACAATACTCACAACTCTGCCCAGTCATAGTTCTTGTTTGGTTTTGGTGTTCTCTTAGGTCTTCCGCTGGCTAAGCCCATCTTGATTTTCTCTGCTTCCTCAGCCAAAAGCTAAAAACATACATCAATGCAAATTAAATGGCACACACTTTACAATGCTTTGCAATCTCTGCAGTTCTTTTTTTTCCATAAGTGGAATATAATAAATCTCTTGTATAGGTAATTATTTGTTAATTAGCAATAAAAACACTAAAGGATTATAAAGACAGTGTGTGAGGAAATGAACAAATGGTGAAAAGAACTGTTCAATATAAAATAGAATAGCATATGTCAAGTCTTCATTCAATCCACACCCTATACAATCTTTTAGCTATTTAATAAAAGCTCAACTACAAACCATATCACAGGTTTTTTTCTTTCTGGTTCTTCCTTTGGTTTTTGTTAACTTGGTTGGGTTGAGTAAATGTAAACTGCACATGTATAACTGGGAACTCTTCTTGCTGTGTCTGAAAAGTTCACAGAAAAAGAGTGGCATTTTAATAATAAAGCTTTATCTCCGGATTCTTCAAATATTCCATCTTTATTGTAACACCTGTGATATTAAAATCCCACAAAAAGTTATGTGGATAAGAATTCTTCGTAATCTAATAGAATTTTATTAATGACATTCCCTTACAGGATTTTATGAACATAAAAAGGTTCAATTATAATTTCAGAACTTCCTGCTATTCACAAATCCTAAAAGAATATTGGCCCAAAAACTATGAAACTTGAACACCAAAACAGACTGACTTTAATTCCTATGCAACAAAACCAAAAACAAACTTACTGTGATATGTCCAGCATCTGAGTCCATAGCTTTCTACTGTTTTCATCACTGGGAACAGGGAGGTATGTAACACTAGATTCTGTTCTGTCTGATCTCGACTCACAGTCTTCGATGCAACACTTCTTTATCGCATTAGCAGACCCCTTAAAAAAAATGGTAAAACTTAGTGATGCCACATACTACAATAATAGTAAAATTATGAATATCAAGTAGGTCTTTCATATGAACAACCAAACAATACAAAGTTATTGTTGTTTCAGAAAACTAAATTTTATCAATTATAACAATAATAATAATAATAACAATAACAATAACAATAACAATAGCAATAACAATAATAATGATAATAATAACAGTAATAATAATGACAAAAATAATAATAATAATAATAATGATAATGATGATAATAATAATAATGATAATAATAATAATAATGATAATAATGATAATGATGAAAATGATGATAATGATGATAATGATGATAATTAATTAATACTAATACTAAAACTAATACTAATACTAATATTAATAATATTATTAATATTACTATAATTGACATTGCTACTAATAATAATACTAATAAACAAATAAAAAATAAAGACAAATAATAAATACATAAATAAATAGCAATAATAATAAATGCCTCATAACAATGAGTGCAGGCAATAATAATATTAATACTAATGATTATAATGATAATAAAAAAAAATAATAATAAGATGACAGGCATAAGTCGAAGATAAAACATTAATTATTTTTGTAATATCTGGATTTTTATTTGATTTATTATTATTCTTTTAAGAATTTGTCTGTTTTACCAAGAAATACAAGAAAAGTAAAAAAAAATCTGAAAAAGGAGGAGGAGGGGAATCAGCTCATATTAAAAACTCCTATCTTATATAATCCTTCAAAGTTTCCACATAAAAAAAAACAAGTCAGTTTTGAAGTGCATGACCAAAATCACAGCCTAGAAAAAAAATAAATAAATAAAATCATTACACTCTTTACCACTCTTCAGTATTTACCTTCTCCGAGTACTGTTCCCCCTTGACCGTCTTGAGATTAAGGGTCGCTAGGGTAGCTCTCTTGGAACCCTCGGAAGCCCCTCCAGTGTCTTCTATCAATGGTCTGAAGTGAACTGTTTGGGTCTCGCAGTCGAAGTTTTCATTGTTTGACTCTCTTCTGCATCTTAAGAATACCTGGTGTGAGATAAAAATGAAGTTGCATGAGTCTCTGCTCAAAGACATGGAAAAAAATGTGTTCAAACAACTATGAATATTTTCAATTAGTAGCTTAAAAATTAATGACTTTTTTAAATGCAAAATACAAAAGCCAAAAATATTAAAGATAATAAATTATAAGTTATTTGAAGCCAAGGAATGTTTAACAAAAACATAGGGACTTGCTTGTCTAACTTCCAATCTTGAATACTATACAGGATGTCTCCTATCAACTATTACCTATGTTGCATCCAACCGCATTACCTGTGTTGTTGTGTCCAGGGTCTCTGCAGCATCCCCTCTCCACATGGTGCCCTGGCTAATCGTCCCATCCTCATGGACTTCCTCTTGAGACACTTCACTGGTGTCATCTTCCTCACATTCATCTGACTTCAAAGTGTTTAATCTTGCGAAGTCATCCTTTGTTAGTGTTAGTATTGTAGGAGTCTCTGGGACATCACTGGCATTCCTGTCTTCTCTTGCCACACTGCTGGATCCTAATTAAGGTAATTATGGTAAAATTTATATCATCTCGTCCAGGCTAATGGGATGAGTATTGATATAGTCTTCATATTTAGATAAGTCATATAATGCAAAACAATTCTTATTAGTATTAAAGTACACAAATTGGTGAAACACCTAAGGTGATAAGAGGGGAAGGGGAAGCATATGACACTGAATGAAAAAAGACAGAAGAGGGAAGAGAAGACAAAAAATACATTTATACATACTGTGATCTTCATCCTGTAGTTCCTCCACTTTCCTTTTGTGGGATCTTCTACCATGTCCACTCATTATACATAAACTTGAATTTTTTTGTTATTATTTGTTCTGAAATGAGACGTAATTTATCAGTCCACAGTTGTATTCACAAAAAGGAATGGCATAAATGACACGTGATTTTGTTCTCTCTAAATTCACTTTAAATTTGCTGTGATCTGTTGCAGAAGGCCTACAGTCTCTTGCCCAACCAGATGTGGGTTTTAACCTCTTATAGCCTGGCACACCTATTGCCTTCGTGATAAAAACAACTCTAGGCATCATGACTCACTCAAGTGAGTAGGGCAGGAAGATCCGCTATACACTGCAAACTCCCCAGCCAAAAGGCTAGACATTTGCCAGAAGTCACCAGAATGAGTGACACACTGAAATTTCTGGCACCGTCATTTTTGGGTTAAATGTATAACACATGGATACTTCACAAGCACTTAGTCACCAAGGAGTCAAAAAAATATAACAAGTCCTACCTATCTCACTTGTTTGCCTTGTCTTTGTTTTGTGGATAAATTATTTTCATACTTTTTAATTGCTGTAAATTTGAAGTTCTGGCTAAACCAGCAATATTACTTTGGATTGATAATAGATTACCAACATCTTCAAGGCCTATTCTATCCTACAAGCATAGATTTTTAGACTTTGATGAAGATTGTTGCCATAGTTTTGGTTTTTGATACTTTATACCCAGTAGTGTATTTATCTTTATATGGTATTAACAAAGCCACACGCATGGCTCACTGGGCAAAAGAGTAAAGGTTTCAAAAGCTTGTAAATCTCCCTGATAATGTGACATTAATTAAGGAATCCGTACAAGTTTCCATGTTTTGTTTTACTAGACTATAAGTGGTATACATAGTTTTGCCCCTAGTTAGGAGTACATATAATATCTTTACATCATCGTAATCATAATGTTAATAATAATAGTATTATAAGCAGCATCAATATTAATATCATAAGAAAACACTTTTTTTTTTCTGAAAATTCAAGGAATGGAAAAATCAGGTGAAGACACATTCCACCTACTAGTTGACTCCTTGGAGGATGAAGACTTGTGGAGCCATCAAAACGCAATGAAATTCACACACACAAAAAAAAAAGTGGATAGTACATGTATCTGCATAAAAGGGGTTAATCCACCCAAACAGATGATGTCTTATCACATAACAGAAAAACCGTCATTCAGGCCAGCGTTCTCACCTATCACACCATAAGGAAGTCAAGCCTAGTTTAAGTTGTCTGCATTGCTTGCTCATTTGGCTCTAGCTGCAGTCGCTAAGAAGAAACAGCCCTATTTGCTGGTGATAAATTTAACAGCAGAGAAAGCCAAGCAATATTCTTTAATCCAACACTGATGGGTGAAGAAAATAAATAATAATTCTACACTCTAGAGAATAACCCAGTGGTGACGGGTGAAGAAAAAAAAACAAAAAAAAACTATGCTCTGGCGAACCATGGTAGCGCGCCAACTTTGAGGGTATGAGTTCAGTACATTAGACCGAATCACTGGCTTGCCACGCTTTGGCGTGCCACTGCAGCGTACAGCCGCGCTTTGGCGTGCCGCTGTGGCGTACAGCCGCACGCCACTTTTTGAGCGGTTTGTTTTCACACCTAGCGGCGTCACCCGTAGTGAAGGGGTTAATGGCAACAAGCAGACTTTGGGCACGGGAGTCCACTATATCAAGCCGAACATCCCGCTCCAAGCTGTACCCCGCAGACCAAGCAGCTTGTTATGACATCAGTAAGTGTGGCCCATCAGTAAGGGATTAAAATTCTGATCCATTGCTAACCCAATTATTTTATTTCTACACAAAAGCTATGTGCTGTCAGGACTAACTGATTTGGTGAAACTTTGCAAACTGGTAGAAACATGATGAGAGTTAATAGGAAAACAGTGTTCAAAGTGTTAGGCATTATTTCCAAATTTACCCACTTGCCATGGCCTCTGTGCCTTTAGCACTCCAGGTAAAGGACTAAAAACTTCCCATCACCATCAGGTAACAGAAATCCCTGAACGTGGTAAACTCTGTTGATTTCTGGCAACGGCCAGTCACTGGGCACAGGAGTCTGCCAAATCAAGCGGAACTTCCCGCTCCACCCTGCAGACCAAGTGGTTTGTTATGACACCAGTACACATGACCTGTCTGAATCAGGTTAAGAGAAAAGTCTTGCAAACCTCACTGGTGATTGGACGCTAACTTTGGAACCAGTCAAAGCCCAGAGCTATGTGGTAGCTCATCAGCTCGAGTGGTGGACTTTGTCCACTATGATCTCTGCCCTAGTTAGTCTTCATGGACCATAACCTCTCTACCTATATACAGAGAATGCAAACCATGAATATCAAATTACATAGTATCTGCAACTTTAAGCAGGTTTACTTCAATTTGTACTCCATAAAAAGACGGTAATTTTTCACAATACCTTCATATAACCATTCGCGGCAATTTTGATATTGACGGATTCCTCTCATTCTCTAGTACACATATACATAGGAATTATGCCAAAGACCTCCCCACCAAACCCAAACATTCATGGCTCCAATAGCAGAGTATAAGAGTTTTTAAGCAGCATAACTTCAATACATTTGGACAGTAGAGGGTGGAAGAAAGGAATCCTCCGATACACAAAATCATCAGGGTCAGTTAAGCGAAGGTATTCTGGAAAATTTACCAAAACTGTTCTGGGCAGTTATTGAAATAAACGAAACTGATGTAACATTTTGTAATATTTTAATAAGAATAGGTATACAGTGATATTCAAAGCTACAAAACAGAGACAAAGAGGTAAATAAAGAATCTGTAACGAACTGGATTCCTGGAAAATAAGAACCCGAAATCCTTTTCCAAAACACAACTTTTTTTTCATATTGAGAAGAAAATGATAAAATGCTACCTTTTTAACTACTCAGTTGAGGCTTAAGCTGCTTCCTGGTTTTATTGGACGCCATACGCCTTATTGTCAGTAGCACCAACTCTTAACAGACTCACGAGAAGATATTATTTCTCAAAATTTTAGTGGAAATTCGCAGGAAAAAAAAACAACAACCTTTGTTTATGCTCCCGTATCCCTATAAAACGTGAATATAAACAAAACGAAAAACACCAATAGACAAAATTCATCACCAATCCACTCTCGCGCACCTCCATGGCCGGCATTTATATGAAAGCGTCCCTAAAATCCTGTGCGGGGTAATATTCCCACCGATTATCGTAATTAAAAAAGTTTCCTTACCTTCAGCTTCCCTTACAAATGGACGCTACATGGGCCCCGTCTTCCTCTCCGCCGCGCGAAAGGAGCTTTTGGAGCAAATTGCGTGGACGGTTTGGCCAAAGCTCGTTTCTCATTGGCTTGGGGTAGCGGACCAGGAGCCAATGGGATACGAGGTGGCTCACGCGTTCTTCTCGCGCGTTCGGTTTGGAAAGGGATAAGGCCATGGGTTTATGCGTTTGAATTTTATGATAATCTTAAACTTCTCACGTTTATGATATTCATAAAACTTAAACTTAAACTTCTCACTTTTATGAATTTTATGATAATCTTAAACTTCTCACTTCTCAGGGAGGGTGATATTCGTATGTTTTATATTTTTAGATGAATAAAAACGTATTCTTATGCCCTCTCTCTCAAGCTGATCACTCATTGAATAAATCATATTTGACAGCAACGGAAAGAAATTGCAATCAAGAGAATTGCAAAAAAACACTTACGATTGCGTAAAATTGCAAAAATATGTAAGCATATGCGAAAATATTAGGTGTTTACTATTAGTATTATGCATCTATAAAAGACAAATTATTACTGTCGCAGTTGAACCTATTCTTAAAATTATTGAAATTACCTTCAGAGCGCATTGGCTATCATCCATTTTTCATATCACTAAAAAAAAAAACTTACTTCATAAAAAAAATAATGCGATACTTTTTTATAAATAGCATTCTCCACTTAGATTATCTGTTAACTCGCCATTTCGCTTTCTGAGAAGGTAGCGATACTATCCGAAATTTCAATGTAATTATCTTAGCGTTGTGGAAAATTATTTTTAATATTGTTATTATAATTACTGTAATAATTGCTTTTAATTCTTTATTTCTTGGTGAAGGGAGCGACGCCAAAAGGCACCTCAAAATTAACTAAACATCACTAAACAGCGACATTTGGACGGGCTAATTAAAAAAAAAATGGCATTCTAATATTGCATGAACATCATGATGCAACTTCAAAGTCAAATTAGTTAGGAAGAGAGTGAAACTTGATAATCAATTGCTGTCATGCAGTAACCAATGCAGAGCGTTTGGAGATTTGAGTGAAAAGAAGAGGGGAGGCTTTGACAAAATATTTTATAATATTTTTAAACAAAGCAATGGCGATTCTAAAACCAAAATCACCAAAATCATTG